TGGAGTTATATGGACATGTCTTGAACAGCCTGAGATGAGACGAGCAGCTGCATTTTGTAATTTGTCCAAAGATTTATTCGGAACATCTGACTGCAGTGAATTAAAATTATCTAGCCTAGAGATAACTGGGGCTTGTATCAGTGTTTTTGTAGCATCTATTGTTATAAACTTCCTAATTTTGGCAATGTTTCTCAAATGAAAGTAGCCTACTTTATATAATTGTTAATTTAGGCTTCCTTATTCATGCTAGAATCGAAGATTGTACCAATGTTTCGGACTGCAGTAGAATTAATGATGGATGACTCTCCAACACGAATAGAAAGATCATCATCAAGCTTTGAGAGGTTGTGTTTTGAACCAATTACCAAGTACTCTGTTTTCGGACTTAAAATTTAGGACTTAAAAAGTCGGTCAACTAGCTTAGAGTGTCTGTTCTCAAACTGAGCTAACTGTGGACTGGCAGCCTAAGTTTAGTATGATGTGTGTTCTACCACGTTGTAATGTATTTAAAATATAAAAAAAAAAAACTTTTACCATTACATGTTGTTAAAATCCATGCTGTCTATAAATATAATACATTATACAGAGTAACATCTGGTATGCTATTATTAATTGAAGTTTATATGACAACCTCAAAACCTACTGTATCCGCGTGTTGTCAAAAATACAGAAATACAATTATTAAAGGACCCCAATCTCTTCTATGTGTTGTATTCAGGCTGTATAAATATATAAAAATTAGTCATCACGGTAAATTGAATCGTAAAACACAACACAACACGCGGTCGTCGCGCATTTAAATGGGCTGCAAATTTACAGAAAGCTGATTGGCCTTTTGTCCTCGATTTCGCAGAACCGGTGTACGAATGTATCGATCCTTGGCTTGTGTAGTGGCTCTAGGACGACCTGAACGAGGTCTATCATCAGCATTGTGTGTTTGTTGGTATCGGTACCACAGTCTGTTGATCACAGACTGTGACACATTAAGAATGTTGGCTATTGCAAATTAAACATAACACACTAAAGCAAAGTTACGCTAAACAGTAAATCTTATGCAAGAACCGATAGGAAAGCAAACATGGATAGGATAAACCAGCACGCAGCAGTTTTCATCAACCCTTCCTTGAAGTGTCAAATTTGACAATGAACCCCTCCCATTTGCATTTGCATTTCAATATCTCCTACTTTTTTTTGAAGAGTATATAAACATTTTCCTGACACATTAATATCTACAGGGTGAATTGTAAGGTATAAGGGGTGGGGGTAGCAGACACTGAGGCGATATTAATACAGAATGTTGTTGGCTGCAGCGAAATGCTATATGAACAAGCCAACAGCGAGGCCGATGTCCCCCGCCGAAAATCCCACAAAAAAGAGATGACACATATTAATTGCACATTTGTCTTTTTCAAACGATCACTATCAAACTCGGGGTTTGAAGTACCGGTAGTGAGCGACACTATACACTAAGTTTCATCACTCTCCATCAGTTAGAATCAAGTTATCTTGTCCCAAAGCATCGACCAAAGACATATTAATGAATCAAACTGCTTATCGCTACTTAGCATAAGCAGAAAATTCTCATCATCATCACCCAATTAGAAGCAAAGTTATCGTGTTCCTAAGTCTCAGCCAATCAAATTGCTCATCTCTGCTTAGCCTTAGTGAAAAATGCACATGAACAAACTACGTCAAGCCATTCATCGATTTTGAACATTCTATACACGAAGTTTCACCACTATCACTCAATTAGAATCAAAGTTGTCGAACTCCATTGTCATCACTCTCACTTCATTAGAACTAAAGTTATCGTGTCCCAAAGCATCAACCAATCGAATTGCTTATCTCTGCTTACCCTACCCTGTTTACATAAGTTGTAAGAGGTGAATATTTTGACCTGGTTGTGTTTTTGTCTGCTAGAAATATTCGCAAGTTCTGACAGATTTTGTCTGCTGACGGAACTTGTCCGCCAAATGTTGCTTATCGTTTCTGTTAAGATTATTTTTTTATTTTTTCGTGTGTTGTCTGCAAATCGGATTTCTCAGAATCTAAGTGACTATTGTTTAAATATATTTCCAAAACGTTTTACAAATTCGAAATCACCGAATTTTACGAACGAAAAAACTAAAAATGCGTAGTTGTGATTTCTTTCCGGAAGTTAAAACCAATTTGACAATTTCTTTAATAGTTGCACACTTTTTTTATGAAATTTGGAATGTAAGTAGATCATACCGATGCGATTTGAAAGATGCCATTAGAAACTTTCTAACTTATCTCCCCTTGGATAAATTAAGGATTAAACTTTTCATGGCAATCTGACCTATATTTTGTAGACTTTTTTAAAAAAAAAAGATTTGTACTAGCTGAGGAATTACTGATGGGTACACAAAATATGAAGTCTATCGTTAGAACCGGAAGTGCTACCATCTTGAATTGAAGATGAAAAATAGTGAAAAATCTACATTAACGGGCTTGTAAATAAACACAATAGGCCGTAGTATGTGCAGTGCGTCTCCCATTTCTGAAATTAATACATTTCAGGATAGCCTGGCTCATGGCAGAATCTTTGGTATTTGAATAATTAAAAAATTCGAATTTCACCTTTGACGTTTTTCGTGCCGACAAAGTTGTTTATGAGTGAAAACTTCCTTTAACGCCTTGAAAATAATCGAAAACGACCACCGGTTCTTGAATTCGTCTCATATTTCCGAAATTAATACATTTCTGGTTAGCCTCCTTCCAAGAATGGGTGGTGGCTTTGGAATCAATATATTTTCAAAACGTTTTACGAATCCGAAATCACCGAAATTTACTGATGAAAAAATTGACCTACATAGCTGTAACTTTGTGACTTTTTGATCTATTTTACTAATTCTTTTTTCTTTGAGTACCTTAAAACATTTACTTTAAGTCTGCTTTTTCCGATTTTCGAATTTCGAATATTACGTCACTGACATCTCCTCCCGGAAGTAAAACCAACATGGCAACTTTTTGAATATTAGTACGATTTTCACGAAATTAGGAATGTACGTAGACCATGGAGAAATTAAGGATCAACGTTTTCAAAAATAAATCGACAAAAAGTAGGTCAGATTACCTTCAAAATGTATTTTTGTACTAGCTAAGTAATTACAGATGCGTACATATAATATGGAGTTTGTCGATCGAACCGAGAGTGCCCCCATCTTGAAACGGAAAAATCCCAAGGCTTTTAAGATCTTTTACTTACAGATATGGGAGTTACATTTCCTGAATCCTTGAAAGAATGCCTAAAAACGTTCAGAGCAGAATTTGCTTTCGTCCAATTGCTGGTCACCATTTGGAATTGGATATGGAAGACCGTGAAACATCCACCTTAACAGACTTCAAATTAAACACAATAGGCCTTTGTTGGGAGAATTCGTCTCCTATTTCCCAAAGGTATACGTTTCAGGATAGCCGGCATCAGGATCGAATTTTTGGTGTTTGAAAATTTTAACATTTCGAATTTCGCCTTTGACCTTTTACGTGCCGATAAAATTGTTTGCAGGGCAATTTATGTCCTTAATTTTCAAAATTTACAAATTGAACCTTAATATTCCAACAGCTGAGGTCAATCTGATTCCAAAAATATTAGTTCCATTCAAATTTAGCTCATTTAATTTTTCGTTATTCTCCTGCCTTTTTTAAATTCTTTCCTGCCATTTTCATTTTATTTCCTCTCTTATTTGTTTTTGGCCCGGGTGCAATGTTTCTCACTATATTTAGACCTGTTACTTGCGCGAGTTTTTGACCGATTGAGATAATTATTTTTTCTAGTTCTTTTTTTTCTTTTAAGATACTTGATATAATCCATGACACGTGACGATGAATATGAAAGCTTTCATATCTGCATGGGACAGTAGCAGATCTATTCTATTTTTGGGTTGGGGGGGGGGGGGTATTTTTCAGCAACTATAAGAGATAGAGGTCTGAAGTTCGGTTTTCTCTCGGGAAACTGGATGGTGGTTAAATGTAAAACGAAATTTGTGCACATAGCGGAAATGCGTCAAATCTTTAATTCTATTTATTCTCAACCGATTGTTCTGATATTTACATTTTGGGATATCTGGAGATATTTCTGAGCAGATAGCAGTTCAAAAGCGTCGAATTCGGAAACTTTGTCGCTTTCAATTTTTTGGTGAAAATTGGAAAATTTTCTAAATTAACTTAAATTTTTATTTCTTGGAATTTTTAAATTCTGTTTACATTTATGGATAGCTGGTGTCTATCCGATTCCAACGATATAAGTTTTGTTGTGAAATTCTAATTTTAATTTTAGTCGATTTTGGAGATTTATCGAGTGTTTTTTTTTTCAAATGTGGTTTCTCAAAAAGTCCACCTATTTTTCTTTCTAACTTCTTCTACAGAGAGTTCAATCAATATTCTTGTGTATGAATCCTGTGTACAACAGTCCGCATTTGGTGTAGCCCAAAATTGAGATTGAAAATTGACAAAATTCTGAAAAATGGGTGGCTGTACGGAAAATACGATGTATGAATTATGGTACTAAAGCGACAAGTTTCTATTAAAAATTTAAAAAGTTTTTTCCGGCGTGGTTTCCCCTTGTCGTTGATACAGGACGGAGGGCCTGACAAGGACAGCTGTCTAGTCGTTCGGATGGGACGAAAAACAGAGGTCCCGTGTACACATTGGCGTGCACGTAAAAGATCCCTTGGCAGTTGGAATTCGATATAAGAGTAGGCCGTAGTGCCGCTGCCCGGGCAAAATTCTCCTCATAGTACACTGTATGGCATATGCCCGTCTTCATTAGCCCAGGTTAGGAGCAGAACAGTAGGACGTTAAACCCCATTTCATTTGTGTTTCAACCTAAACTCTAATTACGACTACAATTTTTACTTTGATTTTGATATTAATATCTATTGCGATTCCAGTTTTAACCATAACCTTGGCGTAGACCAGGACAATGATTTTCAGAGTAAATTTCAAGTATGCCCTGAGTTGCAAGTTTGAGCCCGTTTACGCATATCCATTTCAACTCCAGTTTTAATAGGCCTACGCGACTTTAGTCTTGATTACGACATCGATTTTTAATGTAAAGTCTAATTACGCCTGGGGTCACTACTTCGATTTCGATGTAAACTCTCATTGCGCATAAAAGTGATATCCATTTCGATTCCAGTTTCTACCAGGCCTCAACAACGACTTTGCATTTCATTGGTGTCGACCGCGACATTGATTTTCAAAGTAAATTCCAATTATGCCATTAATGAATAGGCCTATGCGGCTTTAGTCTTGGTTACGACATCGATTTTCAACATAAATTCTAATTACGCCCTTGAGTTTACTACTTCAATATAAAAGTAAACTCATTACGCATAATAATGTAAATGTAATTACCTCCATTAGATAAAATCCGATCGGGGGAACAGCCATAGTTAATGACCCGACCCCTCACCTCGTATGAAATATATTACAAACTCTAAAAAATATCCCTATAGGTACCTAGTCATGAGACAGCAACTCTTTGTTTTCTGTTAGTTAGATAATTGTTTGAGTACTTAAGGACCCCTGACCCCGGCCTCATGCCGCCTCAAGCTTATGACAGAGTTTAGCGCACCATATCCTTCCGAAAGCTTTGTTAATGACCCTTTTGATGCAAACGATTCGCGGACTTGGTATTAAAATCAATCGGTCTATCTTAATATCGCACACATCAATAAAACGTTTTATTTAGTTTTACATTATTTCAATTAATGGCGATCTATATTGTCTATGTTGACAGTTATTTGTAATGTGAATATACCGCTGTCGTCACAGTAACCGTTATCAGGATTAATCAAGGTGTCCCAGTCTATAACACTAGACCAACCCCATCCTGTACCACCGGGTATGTATGGTGATAGTTCTGTATCATCCGTAGCTGTTATTGTTATACATTTACCATCATTCTTTATATTTAACAGTTTTAATATAAAACTTGCTGTCGTTGCCAAAATTGTTTCATCTTCTACTTTTCTCAATCCCAAGAAAACAGCTAATGCTTGACGATCTGTACGATGTGCAACACTTACACACCAAGACATTCCTCGTGTGATTAAATCATCACTATAGTAAAACCCATCTGTCTTTGCCATCTGGTCCACATTAAAGCCACTGATAAAAGTGGGGCCATTCATTGTTTGGAAATCACCAATTTGTTGTTTTAAAGAATCTACATCAATCTCCACCATATGATAAAATGAATGTCGTAAAACAGGGACTTGTACATATGTTGATATGTCGTATTCTGTTTTTATCTGAATATTTGCTAATTCGTTTTCATCTACAGTTGTGGTTATAGATCTATGTTGTAGAATACGATCAGAATATTCACACCATTCTCTCATTTTAGATATCATCGTGTCAACATCGTTTACTAGTTTGGTAATTTTAATATTTTCTTCGTATTTGATTTTGATGATATCATCTTTAATGTCACATCCTAACTTCTTTACTTGGTCACATATATCATTTATGTGTTTGTCAACATTATCACACGATGTCCGACACGAGGCGTTGATATCACACACTTTAGTCTTTAAAAAGTCAGAATGTTGTTTTAGTTGCTCGATCTTCTTTTCTGATTCCAATTTCAGTTTTTTAACTATTCCTCTTATTTCTCTATCGACGGCATTGAAATCAGCTTTCTTATGATTTTTATGATCTACCTCAGCACAAACATAACAACATAGTTCTCTACAGTCACGACAATAAATTTCTATTTCTTTCTTCTCGTGTATTGTACAATACTCTTTATTGTGGCATTTCTCAGCTTCAAGATAAAAGTTGTCCCCAAACATACTGGCACCACCTCAAGGAACTTCGATGTCTTTACAACAAATGGAATAGTTGAACATATACTTTAATGTAATCGTCAATAATTGTTCATTAATCGAACACGTATATAAGTGCATTTAATTAAAGGTAGATAACACCATCTTTTCATTTGATAATATCAGTTGAAGATCACACTTCTGAAATATATATATATAAAACCTTAAAACACAGTTAGGTGTAAGTTCTGTGTTCATCTATAAATTAATATAAACTATTTAATAAATGAATTTGGAATTGTTCAGGTTTATGGGTGTATTTTGAACTTGAGTTGGGCTACAAACTAAAGTTAACACCGCCATCTTGTACATGCACCTAAAGTGTCATTTATTGACAAATACGTATTTAAAATGGTACTGTAAACGGGACATGGTATGCTAACCTTTTTTTGTAGTTCCTAAACAAAGAAGTACGTCTTTGTTTACGGTAGATAAATGCATAAATAAAATAAAATAAATACGTCCAGGTAAAAAATTCACAACTTTACTTCATTCTGACATACATTAAATCATATAAGCAAAGCATTAAATCATATATTCTTAGAATAATAGATGTCCATAGCAATAGATTATAAATAATATTAGGTAATGTACAACATTTTTTGTTCTTGTTTGCTTCCCTGCCCGCCTTTTACAAACAATTATATGACTGAACTGCACTTAATTAATGATGGTTAGAGATAGAGACAAAAGTGGGATACAACAATTTTATGATATACATCCACCTTATTTAAGCAGCAATGTTTCACCCGTAATTTTATGCCAAGCAACATTCAATATTTAGGAGCTACCACCAAGGATAAAGACAGGAAATTCTTTGTCCATCGTTTTAAATGCACCTATTTGGACGACAAATTGGAAATTAAAATAAGTCTGCATGGAATAGGAATAGAATACTGTCAAATTAGAAAATAAAAACCGTATGTAATTACAAACGCGACAACTATGGAAAACCAAAAGGCTCTTTATTCAATCTTCTTAATTCTTAGTTCTTAATTCATAGTCCTTTATTCCTATGTATTCATTTGTTATCGTATTTCAATATTTGTATACTAAAATTAACATTAAATTTTCTATCTTAAAATCGATATCCTTTTTACAAATCAAACAATTTTCACATCAGATGTGTAAATTGTTTCTTTGTTAAATTTAAATGTATTTTAAAATGATAAAATTTCCTTTAGAAAATCAAATGATTACATTTACAATTCATCAAAAGCATAAAACGAAAAGCAAATCTCGAACAACACATTTCCAAATACAAATCTCCAAAAACATTGTCAACTACATTTCTCCAAATTCATCTAACCTGAATATATGTATAAACTCTGAAGATCTGAGACATCGTTAAAATTCAATGGACGTCTTTGTCGACAATGCGGTATACATTTTATACGCCGACACTACAGTGGGGATGTATTTTATCGTCACCCTCTCCATCGATCCGTCTATAAGGGTATGAACCCTATCTTGGACGGAAAGAGGGACGGACGGACAGGCGACGACAAAAATTTATTGAAATAAAACTGATTTTTATGTTAAACATTTATTTTAAAAATGTGTTAAGTACAATAACAGTATTTCATTAAATCAGGGCGAGTTTCAGATATACATCGTGGTTGAGTACCGTAAGCGTTTGCTCTACTAATGTCCTTTTCATTTAAAGTCAATATATCTCTATCTAAGTCGTGTTTCACAGTCGATTCAAAATACCCATTACCAGGTTCTGTGGTCATAATTACCTGGTAATATATTATTTTCGAGCTCGCTACAGAAATATGGTTCACTAGATCGGCGTGTGGACTATATTTTAGGATTTTTAAAACATGTTTTATTCTCAGTAAAGCACATTTATTTCGCAAGTCTGAAGTTAATTCATTTAATTGTGAAATCACTGTATGTATCACCCGTTTTAAAACATATGATTGATCCACAGGTTGCCAGTCTAAACATGCACACGAATGTGTGCTTAATCCAGCATGTGAACACGTACGTTCTTTTGGAATTTCTTTGAATAAACTAATTCCCCGATTTGAAATCTTCCCCATTCCTGTACCTGTAAAATTAAGAATTTCCTTAAGAGTTTCATGTATGTCCAAAGGAGTAGTTAATCGATTCGCATTTAGCTTGAAATTCTTAATAGCTTCGGGATACACACGTTCAACCCATAGCGGAAATCTGAAGGAAAAAAAGGGCATAAATTGCTCTTGTTTACCTTGTACGGTTGACCGAAAGGCTTCGAACCTGGCGCCATGATCACTCATAAATATTAGCAAAGTTTCATTTAAATGTCCACTGCTTTCTAAATATTTGAATAACTCAGCAATATCTTCATCCATATATTCGATATTATTGTTATTGTCATGACTGATTTCACTATGGAAACCAAACATAAACTTTCTTTTGGATCCGTACATTTTGAACATATCTTTAAGATATTCTATAAAATAAATATGTTTGGGTTTTGAACCATAACATAATGATCGATACATGGGGGGATTCTTCATAAACAAACTTAGGAAGGAATGTAACAATGGCCTTAAATGCGGCGTTAACCAAAATTCTATTTCATAATCCGCTGCGACATAGAAAGGTCTTAGGTAATGATCTGTAGGTGGACTCTGAAATCCCGTAAACCTGTACTGAAAACAACCGAGTCCAGGGACGTCATCAGCCCAAAGAGTAACATAACCTGCTTTTTTAAAGTCTTTCCATATAAAAGGCTTTGCGTCAAATGTTGTCGTTCCCTTGAAACCTTTTCTAACCTCCCCTAGCTCTTCCAATAAATGACCTGTTAATATGGGTGCAATTGCCGTAATTGTACCGTCTCCAAGGATATTATAGTTTTCTAATTCTATTCCTTTTAAAATGTTAAAAAAATAATCTCTAGATTTCGGTAGTTTTCTTATGGATGTCATTCGGGAAACGGAATCCAATCCAAAGATAAAAACATTTAAATCTATGCCTTTATGTTGCTGCTTTTGTTCGTCAAGACGATTGTGTATCTGTGGATTAAAAGCAACTCCTAAGTGTCTATTGGTATATGAGTGTCCATGATTTGAGTTACATTCCGCTCTAAAGAAATCGGAAAGTAATAAAGTTCCATTTTTGATATTTTTGATGCATTCACCTTCGACGGTATGCCAATCGTCCAGGAACAGTAATGGGTAAATGTCACAGGTAATAACACCATATAATTCCTGAGTATTTTTCGAGATATAAAACGTGCCGTTGTCAACGTACACCCAATTTTCGTCTTCGCTACACTGCAATTTGGGAATGCTATAGAAATATTTAGCTAAGGAAGGATGGTAAGGATCTAACTTGGGATGAACACATGCTGTTCTTGAATCATTTTGTGGTAGCTTTCGGGGAAGTTCGTTGATGAAATGATCTTTGCTGGAAAAATATTCTTTCAAGATATGTGTGTAAACATATTCATCTTCTGTTGACATTGACTTTGGTTCTTTGTCCAAATTCGACCATCTCTGCTGGTTAATATCTGTGTGTAGAGTGTGCATGTGGTATAATGTGATGATCGCCACAAATACAACAGATATAAGAAATAACAATCGGTACCATTTCCTCAAAAACCGAATTATACAAGTACTGGCGATACGACTTGAATTCAATACATAAGCCATTCTACCTGCAATAGAAATATAAAATATGTCCTGGCTATCGATCGGGAACCACTGTCACTCGGTGCGTGAGACGCTGGTTCACTGTGTTAGTTGAGGAATTGTGGACGGACAGGCGCAACGACATGACAATACGACTACGGTTATTTTAAATATTAATAAAGGTCTATAGACTGACTTTTATCAACCAACTAGCAGGATACCCGGCTTCGCTCGATGGTCATAACTCCGAAACCGGAAGTGGTAGACTAACGCCACCTGGCCTATGTCACTACCCGTCCGAGCTACCCCTATACCCCAAATTTCAGACTCGGGGCAGACCGAGTGTAGCCGCCAACCCCGAACAGACTGGCTTCGCTCGGGGGTCATAACTCCGAAACCGGAAGTGGTAGACTAACGCCACCTAGACTATGTTACTCCCCGGTCGGAGCTACCCCTATACCCCAAATTTCAGACTCGGGGCAGACCTAGTGTAGCCGCCAACCCCGAACAGACCGGCTTCGCTCGGGGGTCATAACTCCGAAACCGGAAGTGGTAGACTAACGCCACCTGGCCTATGTTACTCCCCGGTCCGAGCTATTCCTATACCCCAAATTTCAGAGTCGGGGCAGACCTTGTGTAGCGGCCAACCCCGAACAGACCGGCTTCGCTCGGGGGTCATAACTCCGAAACCGGAAGTGGTAGACTAACGCCACCTGGCCTATGTTACTCCCCGGTCCGAGCTACCCCTATACCCCAAATTTCAGACTCGGGGCAGATGTAGCCGCCAACCCCGAACAGACAGACTTCGCTCGGGGGTCATAACTCCGAAATCGGAAGTGGTAGACTAACGCCACCTGGCCTTTGTTACTTCCCGGTCGGAGCTACCCCTATACCCCAAATTTCAGACTCGGGGCAGACCTAGTGTAGCCGCCAACCACGAACAGACCGGCTTCGCTCGGGGGTCATAACTCCGAAACCGGAAGTGGTAGACTAACGCCACCTGGCTTATGTTACTCCCCGGTCCGAGCTACCCCTATACCCCAAATTTCAGACTCGGAGCTGACCTAGTGTAGCTGCCAACCCCGAACAGACAGACAGACAGACAGAAAGACAGACAGACAAACGACAGTCACAAATATATATATAGATATTAGATAGATAATACATTCTACAGTAGAAAAGAGAACACGAATAAAATAAAAACAGTCCGTACATTCACGCGTGTTTAATCAATCTATACTTATATAAACATTGTAATGCACGGACTTTTTTCTATTTTTCCTTCATGTTCTCTTATCTAGTGACAGTCAATTTTTTCATGAATTGTCAGATATCCTTTCACAGTCTCACACAACAACTTTTGATCTTCGAAAGAATTATTAGTGGGCAGAAATTCGTCCATGTACCTGTTATCACCCGTCACTTCAATCAGTTATGTAGAGGGATAACTCGTGTTTTCCTTTTGCGTTCGTCACTTCCGATTGTTGAAACATTGATTCCACATCTATCGTAGCAATGATCGCTGTGATAAAATAATATTTGGATCGTGTTTAACCAGTTCTATCACATATATGATAACGACTGGCACCAATATTGTCCTTTAAAATTAACTGACATAAAGGACTTTGCAATGGTTGAATTGCTGTCAAAAAGTGATATATCACTGGCACCAATATTGTCCTTTAAAATTAACTGACATAAAGGACTTTGCAATGGTTGAATTGCTGTCAAAAAGTGATATATCACTACGAAGTAATGTAATTAGGTTCGTTAAAAGTGAAATCTATTTATTTGTTTGTACATGTAAGAAAGGATTGGGTGATAAATAAATAAAATCTCCTACTCGTAGGAGATTTTATTTATCACCCAATCCTTTCTTACATCGTCAACATATCCTGAATCCACAATATAGGATGATCCCACTAAGTGGCCATTTAGATGTTTGCGGTGGACGAGAGTTTAAAGTTTTCCCGTTATATAAATTAAATACAATCTGATTAAAACACAGATCCAATTTCGTTTCGTTTTTATAGTTAAAAATTTTGACTTTACTTGTCTTTACTACACTCGGATCTGGAAGAGTTGTTATTTAACTCGTGTTCTGCTTGAAATGAGGGGTCAGCCAATCAAATGGTCTGTCGAATAGAGCGCTTGACCTTTTTTGCGCGGAACTGTGGGTAGACATTAGCGGCAATAGAAATCAAAACAAAGCAAAAGTAGATAAAAAATACATGGCGGTAGCTAATTGGTTAATTGAATGACTGACGTAATCGGGCCAAATGTCGCTTGCTTGGTACCTGACGTCATAGAACGTGAACCCCCACTATAACTTGTTAGATCTACATGTAGCGTAGGCCATCGAAAGTATAAAAAACGAAACGAAATATAGATCTATATTTTAATTAGATTGCAAATAGCAATAAGAGCGATTTACTAGAGGCCAAAGAATCATATTTTATTGAAAAATATCGGCCAGATTTAAATGCAAAAATGTGAAGTGTTATATTGTATGTTTCATTGTAGTCTGAGTTATAATTTCAGTTATACCCCTTCTAAACAATATTCTGTAACTATGACACCATGACGTCATAATCATTATTGTCCTATCTTTATCTTTTTACCATTGTATATAACATTTATAATAGAAAATTCAATCAGGACTTAAAGTGTCTTAAAAGGAACAATTCGAAAGAATATTGGAAAATGTTGACACAAAGCAAAAAATCGTCTAATACGTTTGATGTCAGCATAGATTCGCTATATGACTACTTCAGAAACTTAAACCAAAGCAACGAAAGTAACTTTGTTCCAGATGACTTCTCACTGATTGACTGTGTTGTGGGTGACAATGATGTTATCAACGAGCCAATTACGGATATTGAAATAGAATATTGTATTAATAATTTGAAAAACAACAAGTCACATGGAATGGACGAAATTCTAAATGAATATATCAAATGTACGAAACTGACCATGATACCGATATATGTGATATTATTTAATGTGATTTTGGATACAGGACTTGTACCTACCGAATGGTGCTCTGGTATGATTTTTCCAATTTATAAAAATAAAGGTAGTAAAGATGATGTTTGTAACTATCGCGGTATAACTATACTAAGCTGTTTCTGTAAATTGTTCACTTCAGTTATCAATAATAGGCTGACGAAATTCGTAGAATCGAATTATAAACTTGGTCCCGAACAAGCAGGTTCCGAAAAAACTATTCCACACTTGACCATATATTTTCATTGAAATGTCTTATCGATCTGTATATTGGTAATAAAAAACGGCTATACGCTGGATTCGTTGATTATCGTTCCGCATTTGATAAGATTCCCAGATTACCCTTGTGGGAGAAAGTGTTAGACTGTGGTATAACAGGCAAGATATTCCGTGTTATTCATAATCTGTATAAATATGCCAAATCATGTGTATGTCTCAACAGAAACAGGTCTGATATGTTTAATTGTTCAGTTGGGGTTCGTCAGGGAGAAAATCTGTCCCCGCTTCTGTTTTCCATATATTTGCAAGACTTGTCATCTTTCTTGTCACAACACTATAAAGGTTTAAGCGTCCATGAAACTGATCTTGAAAATGTAGGTGTATACCTGAAACTATTTGCACTTTTGTATGCGGATGACACTGTTCTTTTAGCAGAAAGTGAATCAGAATTACAAGCTGCATTCAATGCCATGTTAGAATATTGCACCGTCTGGAAACTTGAAATTAATTCAACAAAAACTAAAACAATTGTTTTTTCAAAAGGTAAAATAAGAAAAACACCTAAAATTACCTATGGAGATGTTGAAATAGAAAACGTTCACGAATATGCTTATCTTGGTATAATTTTTAATTTTAATGGATCTTTTGTCAATGCCAAGAAACAACTTCACAGCAAAGCATCTTCAGCAATGTTTTCATTAATTCAAAAAGCTCGTAAACTAAATCTTGATGTAGATACCCAGATACATTTGTTTAATTGCCTTGTAGTACCTATCGCCCTGTATGGTTGTGAAATATGGCGTTTTATTGATATTATACTGTTAGAAAGACTTCAACTGAGATTTTGTAAATATGTATTAAAAGTAAAAATGTCTACTCCAAATGTTATGGTCTATGGTGAACTTGGTGTATATCCTTTGCAAATTTATATAAAATATAGAATGATTAATTACTGGTATAAGCTTGTAACTGGTCCCAGATCTAAAATCGCTTGTGTACTGTATAACACTTTGTATAAATCATATGAGCCTAATACATGGTTAAATTATATAAAAGACGCTTTGAACAGTGCTGGGTTGTCTTATATTTGGGATTCCCAAGCCTGTAACATTAATGCTAATTGGTTAAAGCAATGTTTACTGCTAAGGCTAAAGGATCAATATCAGCAAGAATGGAATAGCACTGTACATAATACAAGCAAATGCAAAAATTATCGTTTATTTAAATCCATGTTCATCTTTGAACAGTACTTAATAGATCTACCTCCGAAATATAGACATTACTTTAGTAAATTTAGATGTCGAAGTCATAGACTGCCAATTGAAGCCGGGGTTTTCATAAAGACCCCAGAAGAAAATCGTATTTGTTCTCTCTGCAATACAGGTAAATTAGGCGACGAATTTCATTACATTTTCAAATGCCAAATCCTTAAAAATGAACGTTGTAAATTTATAAAAAGTTATTACCGGAAGTGTCCTTCAGCTATCAACGTGTACAATATATTTAATAGCCACGGTGCAGAACTGGAGAATCTATGTAAATTCATCTCTATTATTGTAAATAAGTTTAAATAAGTTTAAATGAATACTGAATGTTATCTGTAATGATGTGTATATTATATTATCTGAAAATACTTTGTACGTATACTTTCACTAACTGTAAATATTTTATGTGTATATTATATTCATGTGTCTCACTGAGATTTTGAATAAAGATTATTATTATTATAATATTTAGTCCGAAGAGCATTAGCGAAAGTACTTACAAATATATACAAATGTAGTTCTTTAATCCATATTTTATTTATTTTGTTGTATATATATATATCAGTATATGAAATATATCATATAATATTGATTAAATGGAATATTCACAATTATGTTCTCAGTGTCGATCTTACTAGCGATACTACAGCTGTTACAATGAACAGGCGGTTGTCGTGCAAGATATGGCCACATTTTGCAAAATAAAAAATTGATAGAGCTCATCTTACCATTGTCCCAATTTTAAATCCGTTAACAAGTGTAGCTATGACTGTCACACTCACTGTGTTTGCTGTCACGGGGGTATAAATACGGAACGGAATGTAGCGGAACATTTTGGTATGGCAATGCTTCACACCTAATTTGAAAAACCATATATGTTAACAACTGTGGCCTCTATCGAATTTACAACGTTCCGAATTGCAACCAAGGGACGTGGAAATGCGGGATTCGGTCGTGACACAGTTTTATCAGTCCGGACAACGGAGGCTGTTAAAGTAGAATCATGGCGTGATTAAACACAACGAATATGTTTCAGCTGTCATGATTGGTTAAGATATTTTCTTATGCAGTCGACGCATGCTTTCTAGTCCGAAATCCCCCTTTTCACTCGATTGTCACTATTTGTGGGATTGGGAGAAATCAATTTCGGAACGTTCAATCGAGTATCCCCAATGTTTTTAAATGAGGAGGCATAACTCTGGTACAAAGGTTCGTGGAATGCTGATATCAATAGGGTTCGTCCTCTCATGTAAGTAAAGAAGCGCAAAATAAAATAAAACTAGATGTAAATTTCTATCAGCGCAAAGAATAAGGCATTAGTTAACAAACCAGGAGTTACCGATTTCAGGGGTGCTGGACTAGCGGTCTGGCAAGGAACAGCGTCTAACCGTCCGGATGGGACGAAAGACCTAGCTCTTTAAACACGTTGGCTTGTACGTAAACGAGAGAGAAAGAGAAATGGGGTTTGACGTCCACTCGACACAAACTAGGTCATTTCGGGACTAACATATGGTTTAATTTTATTTCAATAATTCGCTTGCGCGTAGGGGTCTTTAGCAGTGGGAGGAAACCGGAGGACCCGGAGAAAACCCACGAGGTTGGACAGGCGACCCTACTCCTTGTCACGTACAACCGGGGATTCGAAACCACGCCAGTCGCCTCAATGACAGACTTTATGATACAACGCGCGCACGCTAACCATTCAGCCATCCAACCCCCCGCACGTAAACGAACCCTTGACAGCTGGCATTCGACGATGAGAACACAGCAATAAATAAGTAAATAATATTCTTTTCTACACAACAAATCAAGCAGGGATAAAATATGAAACACCTCTTATCACGCCTTTTAAAAGATTTATATAACACAAGCCCAGACAATATAATGATGTATTTACCTTCAAGCTCCATCTTCTTATAATATACGCCTAGATACTTAAATGTCTGTCACGTGATGATTTTGTCAGCGCATTCATTCTTTATAGAGCAACTGCAACCTGTTACGTACACAATCAATATTTCAAAATTATACAATAACGTTCACGAGCAAAATATAATTCTAAGAGACAATTCAAAGGCCTATTACCTGTTCAGTTAGCCTCTAGGCATGGGACAAGGTATAGTCGTTTGGATGGGACGGAAAGCCGAGGTGCCGTGTTCACATTGGCGTGTACGTAAAAGATCCCTTGGTAGTTGGAATTCGATATCGCCGCTGTCCAAGCAAAATTTCCCCAATAGTACACTGTATGGCGTATGCCCGTTTTCGTTAGGCCAGTTGGAGCAGAACAGTAGAGAGTTTTACGTCCATTCGACACAAACTAGGTCATTTAGGGACTAACACATGTTCCAATTTTATTTCGATAATTCGCTTGCGCGTGGAGATCTTTGGCTTTAGGATAGGCGACTCTACTCCTTGTCACGTACAACCGGGAATCGAAACTACGCTAGTTGACTCAATGGCAGGCCTTATGAAACAGCGCACGTGCTAACCATTTGGCCATCCAACCCCCCTAAATAATAATAATAATAATATACTTAGTCTATAGCACTTGATAAACACTTAACTAATTTGAGAAGTTCACGATATCTTTTGTAAATTGGTATTTAGCTTATAGTGTAATAACTTCATAATTAAAATAGTCTGAATCAATTTACACTGGCTATATCTATTGTATACTTAACTTATTTAAAGCTTTCTAACTTTACATTTAAAATAGCCTGAACACTGGTTATATGTATTATATACATATATTGATTTAACAGAGAATAACTTAATAAATTTACACAGCTTTTAACTAATGTATATGTAGATATGCTCCCTTGACAGAAAAAAAAATCAATACATCAAATTTAATTAAAGTGATGTCGCCAGACTTTACAGCTATGTTGTACTGTTCAGTTTACCTTGATGATTAACTTTTCTATATTCATACACCGCAAATACAAAACATAGCTGAGATTCTTCAATAATTTTATTTCTGTATTATCGACAACACGCGGATAAATATGGCTTTGAAGTAGTGATATAAACTTCACTTAATAATAACATACCAGATGTTACTCTGTATAATGTATTATATTCATAGACACCATGGATTTTAACATGTAATGGTAAAGGTTTTTTTTGTTGTTTTTTTTTAAATTTTAAATACATTACAATTAACGTGGTAGAACACACATCATACTAAACGTAGAACAGGCACTATAAGCTGGTTGACCGACATTTTAAGTCGAAAACATACTTCGAGAATTTTGAGAAGTATTTATTGTGCTTCCATTTAATGGAAATGAGTAGGTTTATTTGTGTCCTTGTGTGTATGGCAGATGTGAAACAGAGAAGAACCACGTTACAAGACAATATACTAATTTGTGAATATGTTGGCCATTCAGGACCGAGATTTATTCTTGAAGTATGATCACACATATGTCTTTTTAAAAACAATTTTCAAAACTTTCATTTCTTTAACCCCATTTCATTTCTATATAGCGCACAGCTCTCACATACATGTGCTCGTGTGTGATTTACAAAGACAATATTACATAATCAAACCAGATAATAAAGAGCATACATGTACATGATAAATCCCAACTGTGTATTGACTTCAAGCCATCAGATCCCAACCGTTTTAAACTATCAAAGTTCAATATCGAACAATGTATAGATGATATAAAACTCTGGATGTCAAAGAATTTTCTTAAGCTTAACGATGAGAAAACGTGTAATACAAAAGGGTTTATTTTAGTTATAAGAAAGGTGTTCTGTTTAATATAGAAATTCTTTCCCTATATGATGTGTGACAAAAACTAGGGTAATGATGTAGCTTGCAATATTCTACTACTATCTTAGACTAACTCACCGACAGATATGTCAGTATACATTGCTGGAAGTGGGGTACTGTAGCCCAGTTATCTCGTGCACGGATTAGTCCAAATTACTAGAATATATTGTCGTAAAGTGGTGCCTATACGAAACGCTTACCCAAAAATGGTAATTGTCCCGCCCTAATAGATGACGCATTACACTTTCTATGTAGGAAAGAGCTGGTTAGATTTACCCTCAGACATCATTCGAAGCTCAAGGGGAACATACCCATAGGCCTCCTCGGCTAGGAGGCCAGGGATACAGATATCATGATGAGACCGTAGGGAAGACATTAGTCGGAGCTCAAGGGGAACATACCCATAGCCTCCTCGGCTTAAAGGCTAGGGCGAAGACATCATCCTAGCGAGAACATCATGTAAAACTAACATCAAGTGTGTGGCTCTTGCCACGTTTCAGCCGTTAGGTCTGAGTTGTAAAGAATGCTAAACTCAGACCGTAGATATTTTAATAACGCCTAAAGTTTCTATAAAAGATGTGGCTCCCACTAATTTATCGATACACAAAATTATCTTCCTGTGAACAACCCAAAATCAAAACAGACTGTGATTGGAAATATAGGAAAATATGGCTTAATTGATGTATTTAGAGAAATCCATCCTACTCTGAAAAGATACACATGGCGAAAAAAATCCCCCTAAAACAAGCCAGACATGACTTCTTCCTGATCTCCCAAAACTTGATCTCAAAACTAGAAACAATTAGCATAGAAATGAGTTACAGATCAGACCACCCACCAGTTGCTTTGGACTTGAAACTAACTTCAGTCGAGAATGACAAGGGACTATGGAAATTTAACACATCTCTCTCGAAAGACACAACCTTATTAAAGACGCAATTAACAATATTAAATGCCAATACACAATACCTGTGTACAAAATAAATGCAATACACAACATATACAGCAAAGACATTCAATTCATAATAAATGACGAAGAATTCTTAGATATCCCTATACTACTCATGGAAATTAGGGCAAAATCAATGTCGTATGCAATTGCGAAACGCAATGATCAACTAAAATAGAAGCCAATCTCATACAATAAATAACAACGCTAGAACAAAATATTAGCCCGAGTCTAGAGCAGACAAACAGCCTAGAACTAAAACAGAAGGAACTGTCCGAAATTAGAAACACGAAAATGGGTTGAACAGGGTGAAAAACCATCAAGATTGGTTGATGCTCTGGGGCACGATAATTTTAGCTATAATGAAGTCAGAACGATGAAACTCCGAATATAAATGGTGAGAATTTTTTGCTTAGGCTAAGGAGCAATAAGCAATTTGATTGGTCAAGACTTTGGAACATAACAACTCTGCATTTAATTGGGGTAGATTGTTTAAACTTGATGTAGATGGTAGCAAATTGTATAAGCTTTCTGTGGAACAATCTATTTTAGGTAAAAACGACCTGAGTAACATTGAACCAAGGCCCTTCTGAAATGACCTCCCGGACAAATACGTCCATCGTACCCTTTATTTGACCTTAATTTGACTGAAAAGTTGAAGTCAGTTGTTGTACTGGTAATTATGGTTCGTATTAAACATCATTTTGAAGTTGTAATTAAACACACTCGTTCTGTTCACGTCAAGCATTCTCGCCCAAAAGTCTGTTTTGCCTTTTATGCGAACAGACAAAAATGTGACTTAGATCGTTCTTCCCCGGGACAAATGTTATTGAAGCGGTTATTATTTGACCGAAAGAATGCTATCAAATTAACAATACACTCGGGGACTTCGGAGGTGAGCTTCATGATCCCTGTTAAATTATTTATAACATAAAGAAGATATGATATTTTCAGTTTATATATGACTTTATTTTTACGAGTATACGTGCAATCAGTGATATTTTCATTGTGAATAAAATTTGATAGACTGGCGATCAATGGATTCAATATAAATCTATGTAATTGCCTTCAGTTATATTTTTCGTTAACCAAAGTTAAATAGTTTATTTACACTCGAAGAAATCCGTTTAAAATTAACGATGGTTCAGACAAGAGAAGGGACAAATACTATTTGTAGAACCAGATATTTGATGTTAGTGAACCCATTTTTTTAGGACACCTTTTTCACACAAAATTCTATTTTCTATCTAGACGGACCTTCAGTATACTAATCTATCTGCATACAAAGTTTATGAAAATACACATTTAAACATCATTTAATATTAGTCTACCACCTGTAGAACTCTTCCTTCAATTTAAAAATAAATTATTTATTGGAATTTTCGATTAAACGTAATATTTCTTGGAGCTGTAAAATACTCGACTAATCTACCGGTTGTTAATTTGTAACATGTTTAATATCATATCTTTCTACACCAATTAACAATAAAATTGTTCATTCGATGAAACGGAAACATTTTTTATACTGGTAAAATAAATACCAATTGTTTATATGCTAAGTTGAAGTCTACCATGTAATACGGAAATTTGCAACACGTTTATGCACCATATCTTTCTAAGTTGTTCGTTGGATAAAAAGGAAACATTAAGAACTAAGAATAAAAAGCTGTTTGGCCTTCCATACTAATCGCGATTATCCGAATCCGAACCACATTGGGATTCGCATAGATAACTAGTGGATGGTGTGACATGCCATGTGGACATGCACGTAAAACACGACTTGGCAGTTGGAATTCTACAAAGAGTAGGCGACAACACTGCTCTCTGAGCAACATTTTCGCTCAATACACACTACACTAGGGGGTGGTGTTAGATATGATTTTTTTCGTGGTCTCGTCCAATAGTTGTAGTTACCCTGCCCATGTATTAGCATATTCTTTTAAAAAAATATCTGACCCCCCCCCCCGCCGAAGTTAGGGAGATTACATTGTGGGGTGATCATTTTTTCCCCAGTATAAACCTCATACTGACTGGTAAAAGCATCGAAATGGTTGTATTAGGTGAAATAGTGAAAGAGATAATGGACTCGGACCAGAAAAGTTTAATAACTTACTATGATGACGGTTTAAAAACAGGGCACATGATCATTATCAGTGCGGAGTATTAGTGTCAATAGTCGATATAGGGCCCTAACTACTATGACTATAGTTTCAGAATCAAATGAGAATTTGATGGACTTGAAACATGCTGCACTAACTATTCTAGAAGCA